AATTTTTTAAAATTTTTAAAAACAATTTTTTTTTTTTTTTTTTTTTTTTTAATTGTTTATTTTTTATGTATTTTCCAAAGAAAAAATATATCAATAAAATCAAATATAAATTTCGTTCAAAAAAATTAAAATAGTGGACCCCACTTGTAAATAATTACCAAATATTTAAATTAGTACAGCAGAGACATTTGAATTCTAGTAAAAATAATAAATACATATGAAAATTAAGTTAGCCGACATCTGAAAATTTTAAGAATTTTTTTTCATTGAAAAAATAATTACAAAATAAAAAAAATTTTCATTTGTAAAAAACTTGAAAAACTGTAAGTGCAATTCATTAAAAATATTTTTTTGTTCTAATTTAATTATTGAAAAAAATCAAAAAACTAAAAATGTCGGCTAACTTTAGTATTATTAAATCCATACTTTCCCCAAGTTGATTTGACGTGAACAGTATATTTGAGTCCATGTACCGTTGAACTAGCTGCAAATTCTTTGTAAGTTTCACAGATAGTATTGCAAACACTTTTGGATTCTTTGGGAGTGTCTTCAAAATTTCTTTGAAAATTTCTATTCCTCATAGAAGCCAATGGCGGGCGTCTGAATCGTGGCTTAAATCGATGCATTTGTGTTAATAATTTATCAGGAGGTTTGAGTAAATCATGCGATCTGATAATTTGTACAGACTTACTTTATTTTCAGATCTCCATAACGATAACGTATATATTTTTTTAAATGAAAAATTAAATACAGAAGCTCGGTAAGGAAGTTTTTGCTGAGAGAGCAGTACCACCGATCGAGCGTGGCAGGAGAGAGAGTGTATGATAACCAGTCGCGGATATGAGTGACATAAAGTGAATAAAGTGACAAGGAGAGTAATATGAAATACGCGCATTGGCAAAAACAGCGAAGAGAGAGAGAGAGCTGGAGGTCGAAACTGAGTGACGAGAGGAATCAAGAGTCAAGAGGGTATAAAGCTATTTTCTATCCGTACATCAAAATGTCATGGCAGCTTGCACAGTGTATTTTAAAAAAGCTGAGTACTGTTTGTTAAACAATGTGTTGTTATTTTGTTTTTAAGGTTAAGAGCAGATTGTTGATGATTATTGAGTGGATATGAGCTATTTATTGTTAAAAATGTTTCTGTGCGTATGTAAATTGCCGGCAAGACGTTCAAAGTCCATGTTTGTCAGGACTAACCTAAAACCATCATGCTCAGCACTACGTTTGGATTTTAAATGTCGGAATTAATCAGCTATTTTACAATGATATGTCGCTTTTATCTTGGACGTACAATGGATTTATTTAATGTAATTATGATAATCTCTATACAAATACATGCTAAGTAAATAGATAAAAAATATATGTTTAATAGAGGGAATAATTTTATTAGCAATGGCAATGACGTTTAATAAAAAAAAAAATGTATCTCTACAAGTAAGCTATCAGCAATGGTTATAATAATAATGGTGATGATAAATTTGTGAGTAAAATTAAAAATAGTGATGAGACTTGAATTTGTGATTGCAATTGGCTATGAAGAATTATTCAAAGATATATAGAAGTTTTAAATACGTAATTGCAGAGTGTGCATATACGTATTATTATTATAAAAAGCGGATGCTACGTGTCGTATTTTATAGCGTCGAAGAGTCAAGTACTTCGACGACTACTGAATATTCTGCTTCGATTTATCAAAGGTAAACCTTTTTTTATATTTATATTTATATTTGCATTTTATTGAATTTTTAAATTCACTTTCATACTCCAAAGTTTCAATATTAATTTTTTGATAATATATTTTAGAAAATGTCATGAATAATTTACTACAGTTTAAAGAAGATAAATTATTACTTAAAAGAGATATATCTTTTTATAAAAAATTATTCAATTTAATGAAATAAAAATTAAGTACTGTTATGATAGTTTAAATAAGATGTAATAAAGTAACTCTCGTGTCTGTGATTTATTTAAATTGGTCCGTTGTCATATGACCGAGAAGAAACAATCAGTAGTCTGTTTGAAATGATTCACTTTATAATTATTTTATTACTTTTTTCTGTTACAGCAATATCTCGCAATGGAGTCAATTTTCAACTAGCATAATTCAATCGCCATGTCTACTGAGATTAATAATATTTGTAATTATTTTTTATTATAAATATTGCAATGCATTTTCAATATAGCACAGTGATTTTAAATAATTATATTATTATTGATAATAATATAACTAATTATAGTAATAATAAACAACAGACAATTCTATTAGCTTAATGTAATCGTGAGTGTAAAATAACACAAGTTAAATATCGAAACTAATATAAAAAATAAATATGCAAGCCAAAAAACGGTACTTATTATTATTTGTAACTTGCGCGTTTCTTGGCTACTGCTACTTCGGAGGTTACAGATTAAAAAGTAAAAAACGTAATGAAATAACGCACGATTACTGGGATAAATTTCCGTCGTATTTATCTATTAACGAAGAATTTTATGATAAGGATCTCAAAATTTCAAACAGTAAACTATCAGTAGTCCATCCTGCCAGACAATGTCGCATGGAGACATGTTTCGATTACACAAGATGCAAGCAAGGATTTTCTGTCTATGTATATCCTATCGAAGATACTATCAGTCCTCTCTATCAAAAAATATTGAATGTTATCACTGAATCTCGCTACTACACGAGTGATCCAACGCGGGCTTGTATACTTGTGCTGGCGCTTGACACGCTGGATCGCGATCCGCTTTCTACAGAGTTTGTTCACAATTTACCATCAAAGCTGATGCGTCTGCCCCACTGGAACGAAGGACGTAATCATCTGATATTTAATTTATACTCGGGTACCTGGCCAGATTACATAGAAGATGCCCTGGCGTTCAACATTGGCTACGCGATGCTGGCCAAAGCCAGTATGTCCATCAGTATGCTCAGGCCAAACTTTGACGTGTCTATTCCGCTGTTTGGGAAACAACACCCAGAACGTGGTGGTGAGCCTGGCCAGGCGGCAGAAAATAATTTTCCAAGTAATAAAAAGTACCTCGCGGCATTCAAGGGTAAAAGATACGTACATGGTATTGGCTCGGAAACGAGAAATGCTCTCTATCATCTTCACAATGGGAAGGATCTAGTATTTGTGACGACCTGCAGGCACGGTAAATCTTGGAGAGAACTTCAGGATGAACATTGTCAACAGGATAATCAAGAATATGATACGTAAGTTTATTATCATGATTTTTTTTTTATTATTATAAATTAATATTTTATTTTTAATTTTAATATACATTTTATTGATTTTATTTTCTTTTTGCTATTTCAGGTATGACTATGAAGTCCTACTATTGAACTCAACGTTTTGTTTAGTACCGAGAGGACGTAGGCTTGGCAGCTTTAGGTTTCTGGAAGCTTTAAAAGCCGGATGTATTCCAGTTATTCTGAGCAATGGGTGGGCCTTAGCATTTCATGATCGTATCGACTGGAATCAAGCGGTTATATTTACAGACGAGAGATTGTTATTTCAAGTTCGTATAGTATTTTCTCTTTGTATATATGTATTCGTATATACTTGTTTTTTTTTTTTTTCACCAATTTTCTAACCATTTGTATATATTCCGTGACTAATATAATAATTTTATTTTTAGATTCCAGATATATTGCGTTCCGTTTCAAACACACAAATTCTAAAATTTAGACAGCAAACACAATTTTTGTGGGAGCGATATTTTTCTTCAATTGAAAAAATAATTTTCACAGTATTTGAAGTAAGTTACTGATAATTAGATTTTTAAAATCAATAGTTGATAATTTTTTATTATTAATATTTAAAGAATATTCGTGAGCGATTGCCGTGGGAAGGAGCACGCGAAAAACTCATTTGGAACACATATCCTGGTGCATTGGCCATCCTGCCTCAATTCGCTGACAGTCAACAGGAGCTTCCGTTTTCGAACAATGATCCGGGCAATGCATTCACTGCCATTATTTATTCTCAGTTAGGATCTACGGCTGTTCTTTATCGCTTACTCCGAAGTGTTGCCAAGAGCAAATATTTAGATAAGGTATTATATATGCTTGTAGGAATATATATAAGTACATATAAGATAACTTTTCATTATGAATTTGACCTTTGGTAATCGATAAGCTATTATACATATTGCATGTTTATATTTATATTTATTCAGATTTAATAATTATGAAAATCGATATCATAATTATTTTTTATGTTTACTCTTATAGATTATTTTAATGTGGAATTCCGACATTCCCGTACCGAGAAGGCCGCGTTGGCAAGGCATCAAAGTAACAATCACAGTGATAGTTGCGAGCAGTATTTCTCAACGCTTCTATCCCTATCCTCAAATCGAGACTAGTGCCATATTATCACTAGACGAAGACGTAACTCTTAATACCGACGAGATTGACTTTGCATTTGTCGTCTGGCAGTCATTTCCTGATCGAATAGTCGGATATCCAGCGAGATCTCACTACTGGGATGATTCCAAGGTTATTAATATCTTTAGAAAGTTTTTAATAACACTCAATATTAATTTTTTTTTTTGTAAATGATATATAATGCAATAGTTATATAATTATTTAATAACAAGTTGTATGCAATTACAGAGATCGTGGGGTTACACCAGTAAATGGACAAACGACTACAGCATAGTATTGACGGGGGCAGCTTTTTATCATCGTTATTACAATACGCTGTACACTGAATCGCTGAGCTCAACGTTGCACAAAACAGTCGAGCAGTCACAAAATTGCGAAGACATACTTATGAATTTTTTGGTGAGCCATGTGACACGACGGCCGCCTATTAAAGTGACTCAGCGTAAACTTTATAAAGACACTACGGCAGCTGGAATTAGGTAAGCATCAAGATTGTTCATTGAGCATGTTTCCTTTTAATTTATCTATATTACACACCACTTAAGTCATTTATGATTTTAATAATCTTAATGTTTGTGGCCTTGGCTTGATTTATTTATTTAAAAATTTTTTTCCAGATCCTCGTGGAATGACCCAGATCACTTTACACAGCGTCAGACCTGTATGAATACTTTTGTAGCTGTTTTCGGTTACATGCCTTTACTGCGCTCCAACATGAGACTGGATCCTGTGTTGTTCAAAGACCCGGTTAGCAATTTACGTAAAAAATACCGACAAATTGAACTAGTTAGTAACTGAATAAATGAACAACCAAATAAATGGAGATAATAAAAAATGATATGATAATTTTCCAATGAAGGATATTTGTCGGTAAAGCCATAATAGAATTGTCTATAGTAGACTCAGTATCGCGAGTGAACTGATAATTGTAATTATGACGGTGAGTGATGAATTTTTGACAAAGACAATGCACTTTTTAATACGAATAAAATATTTTTTTTTGACAATTTGTTACCCAGAGATTGATAACAATCAAAAATCATTTAGATCATTCCGCGACTTTGTTATAAATTTTTTCATCGCTAAATATATATATATTAATATAAATATAATAATTAACGGTGAAATATATCCCGTGTGATATTTCATCAGGGCCATCTTATTAAGTTGTGTACATAAATAAAAATCGTTTCATAGCCATTATTATTAATAATAATAAAACAATATATTATTTAACAGATACGAGCAGTTTGTCGTGTTTTACACCTCATCCATCAATGATAATGTCCTGGCTAATTATCCTGTAATATCCTAGTAATTATTTAATCGTAGCTGTTTGGTAAGTTCCTACATATCCTTTTCATCTACAAAACTAGTTTTGATATTAAAATTTCCTCCAGATCCACTAGATAATCCTACGCATACTTTACATCCGCAATTCCCTTTCCGATCTGCGGGAAAAAAAGTAATACAAGAACAATCACCTGTGGTGTGACTAAAGTCACATAATAATATTTCACAAGTTAATGTATGCTTACTATCCACAGAGCGAGTTTTTAAATGATTTTTTTTTCTCCTACTCATTATCCATATATAATCTCCAAGCAATCACTGATTGCGAGCACTGCGAAGGCCAATTGATATTAATTCCTGGCAGTGTTTAGTATGTTTTATTGCCGATAGATTTGGCGTGTGAAAAAAAGGTAAATACAATAAAGTTTATACGAAAAATCACGTAACGGGCGTTGTATGGTGAACGGGCCGACTCTGGGTCCGTTTCGTCCCACGCTGGGGCGGTAAGTAAGAGCGGGAGGACACGAGCTAGCTCCCTTGCGAAAGCCCCGTATAGTATTAACTTTATCTAAACACCGCTCCCATGATTTCTCAGCCGTCGAGACTTTTCTAGATAAGTCTCCTCGTTTTATTCTTATTTTATTGTCGTTGTTACAGTTAAAGTTGCCTTTGTCGTAGTCGTAGGTTGTTGTTAGTATTATTGAATTGTTATTATTCAGGGTCATTGAAATAATAATTACTACAATTACGATTGCCGATCCAAAATGTAGCAAAATAATTGCATTTCCATGACAAATACGCGTGAGCGTTGACAATTATTCCATTTAAGTAGAAAATAGTCGTGGGACTCGGGCAATTAACCATCAACCAGGCTAAATGTAATGACGTTACCTGGCAAATTTGGTAAACAATAATTACAACTTTTTTATTGTGAATTATTCGAAATATGCAACGAGAAGATGAAAATTAAGTTAAGCGACATCTAAAAATTTTAATAAATTTTTTTATTAAAAAAATTACTCCAAAAAAATAAAAAAAAAAATTTCACCTGTAAAAAATTTGAAAAACTACACGTGCAATTTTTGTAGTACTAATTAAATTATTAAAAAAAAATCAACAAATTAAAAACGTCGGCTAGATTCTATATCTTAACAAGAAGCTGAAAGAAGAAAAAAATTTTTTTATCCTTAAAGCGCTAAAATTTGAATTTTTGGCGCCAAATAAAAAATTAAAAAATTTTGTTAATTTTTTAGCCGCCAGAGGCGCTGAAACTCGAGCTTATCCCGGCGCAGCAATACAGCTCAGAGCTTTAGAGCGCGCTTCAGAATGCACCCGTTATTAAGTAATACTCATCATTCGGATCATAGTTTATAATTTATACCAAAGCAATTAAAATCATTATAATATTTGGCAATAACTATTTTCCCTTTTTATTTTCGTCATTCAATAAATTTCAATTGAATGATTATCAAAGCAAGTTGTAGCAATATTATAATTAAACAAGAAGGATTCACGGAGTGATTTGAAAGTAGTAATTAACGTTTAGTTTAACTGAATAAAACCCGCCGGAATGGTAAGCAGCAGCCGTCACGCGTCAAAAAATTCTTATAAAAATCTAAAATCAAAGCTATACAACAATAAAATTATTAAAGAGAGTTAAATTGAAATATAATTAAGAAACAACGTAAAATAATATGGTAAGTATCGTAACCCCGTTTGACACAATATAATCGATCAATCTACCGGTTTTTAAAAGTATTTATTTATATTTATTGTTCTTTTTATTCTATTTGTTAGATGATCTGGCTAGTGATCAAGTCACTCACTTGGAACATGAATAGATAAGATTGAACAACAGCTACGGGAACTCTAAAAATGAAGTAATAACAAGAAATAATCTAAAGCTACCACTTATTATCATTTCCTCTGTGGAGCTCCTGCCTGAGAATCCACTCACCGTTTCGATGGTTAGATTTACCTGAGAGCAATCGTCAAGGTAAAAAGAAAGGTTACTACATCTTAGGTAATGTGTGCAGTGGCCAGTTATTATACCACGACAAAACACGTATTATATATTTTACATACGACATTAACATTACGTATTGTGTGTTGGTCTGTGAGAGTTTTATTTCACCGAGGACTACGTAGTCTCACAGGATTCTATTTTACACTAGCATACTCCTGACACAGCAATCTGCTCTTAAAAATATATAATATGTAATTGAGTGTAGATCTGTTCAATGGACATCCGGTTATAAATATATACACACTGGATACTATAAATTAACGCTAATTCATATCTGAGAATTTAGACAACTGCTTGTGCGGTTACTTAGCTCAGTCGTTGATAAAGGGGTTGAAAATGGCTGACTGTTAGTAGTAATAGTAGTATAGGCTTAACCGAGATAATACTCTCAGGCTGTCTCGCGTTGAAGGTACTCGTACTCCTTTATCCAGCAAAAGTAAAAGCGCAATGATTTAAAAGTTCACCGAGTACTTACCAAGTATCAATGGACATTAAATGCGTATCAGAAATAACGTCTCAAGAGCTATTCAACAATTTAAACCGAGTAGAGGGCTTTTAATACACCGCTTTGCGCGTGAACCGGGGAATAATAAATTACCCGGACGCTAACAGAGAATATATTCTGCGTGTATTAATCTCTCTATTTCCGTCTCTTTTTTTCTTCCTCTCGACTTATCTCTCCGTCTCTTTAGTATCTTTTACTTTTTGTTGTTAATTTCCTCTTACTCTGGACTCTGGTAAATTCCAAATAAAAGGCATGTGATTGATTTATAAATTAAAGATTTAGTTTTAATTGAGTCCAGTCTAAAATACCGTCCAGTCATCATGATCAGTCTATAGTTCTACACTATTATGTGTAATGGGTGTCTTTATAAATTTATATATTTATATATTATATACATCGATAACGTAAATATATTATTTGGAATGTATCAAAATATTCAAATAAGTCTACCCAAGCTTTCGATATATTAATTATTCAGATATTTGAGCCATCTCTCGATTTCTAACGCACGCCGGGAAGAATTATGCAAGGGACACCAGTAACTCGCGTGCCTCGCTTTAGTTACCCAGTTCGTTTTATACACAGAAATCCACTTTGCTATCTAATCCGATAAAATGGATTTTATAAAATATTTAAGTCGTAAGTGTTATAGCGATAAATTATTTTTGCAGGTACTAAGTACCGAGGCGTAACGGAAAACTCTTCTTCTCGCTTTCGGTATCGCGAGATGCCTATAACTAATCCGTGCCCCCGATAATATTAATTACTCTATCTTCTATCCACGTGGTCGTAAGTTGTTTCTTTAAATGCTGGGAATTAAATATTTTTTTTTTCTTTAACTCTGATAGACATATTAAGGCTTGTCGATCAGGATTCGTACGTTCAATCTTTCAAATCAACACCACTGTCAATAAACAAAATTACTCTTACTGTAATGTTACGTGAGCTGTTGTAATTTATAAATCTATAAGTAAATCAATGTCGGTTTTTAAAATTTATCTGTATCGAGATTTATCAAAAGAGTACTGAGAGTCCTCGGGGCGTTTAATATTTCATTTTTCGAGCAGCAAACAATGCTGCTATATCTGTCGAGCAATTAATCTCAATCTGATAGTTGTAATAGTAATAATAAAAAAAAAAAAACAACAATGAAAATGAAATAAATAACTTTAATACATAATAATAATTTGCTGAGAAGGTTGTGCCTTTTTAATGCAATACCAACTTGTCAATCCAACGACGGTTTGGTTATACAATAATAAGATTAAAATCAAATAGCTTTTGATACACTTTTGATTATTATTTATAAATTCATTTCATTGTATAATTAAATAGAGTGAGTGACTGCCGAAAAAAAATGAAACGGGTTGGCCATGAAATTCTATAACTCTTATATATAAGTTGCTACTCATAACTATAATTACAATTACGCCGAAATTGAAAAATGAAAATAAAAGGAGAAAGGTGTTGAAAATAAAAACGGATTTAAGATCAGGCGGAGGTGGAGATGGTGATAGAGGTAGAGGCTCTAATAAAATCCAGGTGGGGTTTGGTTGTCTGAGGAAGGAGCTGAAGATAGTTATGGTGGTGGCAATTGTACTCAGTGCGTTTATATCCCCTTACATTACTCTCAACACTCCCTTCTTAGTCGGTTATACATATAACGATAGATAGAAAGGTGACTTATACCTTATAGCGTACTAATACCACAGCAGAGACTGAATACAGAGTAAACCGCGAGTTAAGACAGTCAGGATTGGGATATAGGAGGTATCGAGTAAGGTATACACGAGATATACACTCAGTCACCTTTCTCTACTCGTGACTGAAGCATATGTTTTGCGACCGTCAATGGCGCTGTCTCGTGGCTCTAAACCGCGCACCGACTTACCTCAGCTCTAAACTAAAAGCAGTAGCAACACCTTTTTAGCAGTCAGACGGGACTGCATTATCTCGTCGACACGTCAACCTACA